TTGCTATACTGGGTCTGAAAATGCCAGGTGCTTGGTTACCATGGAAGGCCTGAATATGCCAGGTACTTGGTTGCTATAGTGGGTCTGAAAATGCCAGGTGCTTGGTTACCATGGCAGCCCTGAATATGCCAGGTGCTTGGTTACCATGGCAGCCCTGAATATGCCAGGTGCTTGGTTCCCATGGCAGGCCTGAACACCAGGTGTTTTGTTGCTATGGTAGACCTGATTTTGCCAGGTGCTTGGTTACCATGGCAGCCCTGAATATGCCAGGTGCTTGGTTGCCATGGCAGCCCTGAATACTAGGTGTGTGATTGCTATGGTAGACCTGAATATGCCAGGTGATTGGTTACCATGGCAGCCCTGAAAATGCCAGGTGCTTTGTTGCTATGGCGGCCCTGAATATGCCAGGTGCTTGGTTGCCATGGCAGGGGGCCTGAATATGCCAGGTGCTTGGTTGCCATGGCAGCCTTGAATATGCTAGGTGCTTGGTTGCTATGGTGGATCTGAAAATGCCAGGTGCTGGGTTGCCATAACAGCCCTGATTATGCCAGGCGCTTGGTTGCCATGGCAGCCCCGATTATGCCAGGCGCTTGGTTGCCAGGGGAGGCCTAAAAATGCCAGGTGCTTTGTTGCCATGGTAGGCCTGGACTATGCCAGGTGTTTTGTTGCCATGGTAGGCCTGATTATGCCAGGTGCCTGGCTGCTTCTGGCTTCCATTTCAGTCATTGATCTGTGCCCAGGAGCGGATGAACTGCAGATCCGTATACTGGTTCCAGGCACTGGCACTAAAATATATCCTTTATTCTTCAAAAATTCTCCAAACACATCCACTACTTACTAGTCCTGTAACATGCTTGTCATGAAATTGTTTCTGTTTTTCTTTCCTTGTTACATCTTCCGAGAGCTCCCGAGCTTCTCCTTTCCCCCTTACTTCATGTTATTTGGATCAAGCAGTGTATATTATCTGCAGTCATGGGCACTGCTCTATGCACACACCCCACAGTCCAACTCGGGAGCGAACAAGAGAGGGTGCCTACGTTTCTACATACAGTGGGACCACGGAGAACCAACGTAGCCACCCCCTGATAGGAAGTCAGATCACGCAACAAAAAAAAAGGAATTTGGAGGAGGATGAGGGCAATAGAATGGAATTTTTTTTTAAATTAAAGCTCAATTCTAGGATATTGACCCCCCCCCCCCCCCAACTGCTGCTATGAAAAAATAATTCCTAGACAAATGTCCACTTTCCTTAAAGCGGCATTAAGCCCACGATACACAGGGCAACGTAATTACTAGAATTACACGACAACGGCAGAGAGAGGCTCCTGGACCTTTTCTGGTGTAGAGCTTTGTGCATTTTTTTACAGCAGGTTTTAGCACATTTGTGGTACTCTTGTTGTATATTTTGGCGTGCCCAAAAACATTCATCTGCTGGCCGTGTTTGGGGGCCATTAAGATTTAATAGCAGTGCAAGCAGAAATAGTTTTTTTCGCATGTTCCTACAACTTGACGGGAAATGCGCATTTCTGTGCACTTTTGTGGGTGTTCTCAGAAACGTGCAGATGGGCATTCAGCCAAGCTGGCCAGACACTTATAGATTTTTGTTTGAGAATTTTTTGTTTCAAGAATATTCTTTTAATTTTCTATTCGTCAGCGGGGTCAAATCAATGGTAATTTTCAACAGCACTGACGGGAAAATTTGAAGAAACACGAAGGAAAAATGTTCTCAATCAAAGGAATTTTCGACTAGTGTATGTGGTTATCGTTCAGAAAATACGTTGATTCAAATGTTAAAAGCAAAAGACAATTTTCGAACGACATTTGTCCATTCATTGAATGTTCAAAGAATTTTGGTAAGATTTTTCTTGCCAATGTTCTCATTCGAAAATCTACACATGTGCTTTAGAGTGCAACAAAACACTTTTGGACAGCAGCACTGTCAGTCTGGGGGGAGGGGAGTGTGAGATATACTAGCAGCTTTAAATACATCAACAAATTGAAGCCAAACTCCATCCAACATTTTATAATCTGTTACATCAAACAGTTTTGTTCCTTTTGGGATAAAGGCTTTACATAAATAAAAGCTGTACCCCTGTCAGTGGTAAATGGCTTGTCTCAACACTCTAACTGCTACATCTGCAGAAAAGCTTGACAACAGACTTACTTGCCAGATCAGCAGACGTAAATAAAGGATGCACAGTGGCTAAATGGTTCCACCTGGCAGCACTAGGGTCCTTGGTTTGAATCCCAACCATGGTACCATCTGCATGGAGTTCTCCCTGTGCCTGCGTGGGTTTCCTCCGGGTTCTCCGGTTTCCTCCCACACTCCAAAGACATGCTGGTAGGTTAATTGGCTCCTGTCAAAATTGGCCCTAGTATGTGTATGAATGTGAGTTAGGGACCTTAGATTGTACACCCCTTGAGGGTTAGGGACTGATGTGAATGTACAGAGTGTATGTGTGTCTATATATGTATGTGTGTGTATATATATATATATATATATATATATATATATATATATGTGTGTGTGTGTGTGTGTGTATATGTGTGTGTGTGTGTGTGTGTGTGTGTGTGTATGTATGTATGTGTATATATATATATATATAATGTCTATATGTGTGTGTGTATGTATGTGTATATGTGTGTGTGTGTATATATATATATATATATATATGTGTGTGTATGTAAAGCGCTGTGTAAATTGAGGGCCCTATATAGGTACTTGTAATAAATAAAGGAAAGCCTATAAGAAGAAACTTATACAGCCATCACATCTAAGAATTGGTAAGCTGCAATGTAATACATTTTAATACTGCTTTAAAGTGGAACTAAAGTTGAAAAAAATGCGAACAGACGGGTTCTTTATTGCAGAAGAGACATTAAATATTTCTTCTGCAATAAAAGACACTTACATACCTGTCAGCAATTACCTGCAGAATGTACACTGAGCTGTACATGCGCAGCTCCGTTTACATTCCAGCACACTGCCAGTGTTTCTGGATGAATGCACTTCTGCACATCCCGCACCAGTCAATGAAAACAACTGAAGACCCCCACCCAGAAGATACCAGAGAGAAGATGCTGGCGAGGGACCATTGGAACAGAGGTAAGTATTTTTGCCTTTTAGTTCCGCTTTAACTGAAGCCATGGGCACATCATAATCCGACTTTCTTCCTCTGTTTACTTCCTAGGGTCCTTCTTCAGGTGTTCACATCACCGCCTATTTGATGTGCCCACCTCCTATTGGTGAAGGTGACCCTTCCAGTAACTGGGTCCTCTTTCATTGGCTCCAGGGGCAAGAGAACTCACAGAAGTGGTGAGAGGACCAGCGCACGAGAAAATAATGTAATATTGTAATAATGTAAAAATAATATTCTGGTTCCCCGGACAGAATATTATCTTTGCGCATGGAGTAAACTGTGACTTTACCTTTTGTAAGGTAATTAATGCACAGTACACTATTTACATTTCAATTTTCTCCTGGAGTTGGGCTTAGTTTTGAATAGACTTTTTCAAAGCAGAGTTTAGTGGTTGTAAAGGCTGAAGGTGTTTTACCTTCATGCTCCCTATGCATGAAGGTAAAAAAAACCTTGTGTGCAGCAGCCACACCGAATACTTACGTGCGCTCCATTGCGATCCAGCAGTTTGCACGAGAGTCGGTTCTCTGGGCATTCTCCCTCCTCATTGACTGGGACAGCAGCAGGAGTAATTGGCTCCCGCTGCTGTCAATCACAGCCAGTGAGGCAATGAGTCGGGAGAGGGGGCGGGGTTGAGATGCGGCGCTGTATATGAATAGACACACACGCAGCGGCTCAGAAGCCCCCATAGCAAGCTGCTTGCTGTGGGGGCACTTGGCCAGGGGAAGGGGCCAGGTGCGTCAGCTGGGGCCCAGAGAAGAGGAGGATCAGGGCTGCTCTGTGCAAAACCATTGCACAGAGCAAGTAAGTATGATATGTTTGTTCTGTTTTTTTTTTTTTTTTTTTGTTTTATTTTAAATATTGCCTTCATTATTACCTAAAGAGGCGACAACTGTCTTCCAGTTTAACTCTTACATTGCCACATGAGACTGGCCGTTCCACTATACCTTGCTCAGGCATGGTGCTCTGTTGCCACTATCGGGATACCGGCCCAGAGGAGTGACCTGTACGATGGAGTGCTGGAGAGCAGTTTCACCCACTAAATGCAACACATTCAACTGAATGGGGCCGCGCCACAACTGCCTGCATTAGTAATGACGTCTGACATTTGGGTGGTTGCAGCAGCTCAGGGTGGTTTTTTAATGTGTAGATTTTACATTTCATATCTCATCCTCAGTTTGCTGAATAGATTAGTGGCAGCACAGGAGTTTTTGGGTGAATCTAATGATTCAGCTGTGTTTATACTGGTTGTGGGAACATTAGTTAGTGCAGTTGAGGTTGGTTTGTGTTTTCCTTGCAAGGCCATGTTAATTCATGGGAAACGTATCTCAAATGCCCACGTACGTACGCCTCCAGCAGACCTTGAGGGCCAGAGTTGAGCACCACTGGCCCAGACTTTCTCCAGTGTAAATCCCGGGGGGGAATTTTCCATCACTTCCTATCCATATGGCTGTACAAGAAATTGGGATGGCAGTTATCATTGGGACAGGAAGCCACCAGCAGCTTTGGCAGAAGTTCCATCTCTGCCATACTCAAATTTGTGTTTTTGTCTCTGTCCCTGCGGGAGAGATTTCCCTTCATGTTCTCTTAGGAAGTAATCTCCATAATAGGGATACAAATTTTCAATTAAAAAAAAAATCACAAAAGCTGTAATCATTCCCTGTTGTATTCAAAACAAAATAAAATGTTTAGCTGGATTTGGGCTTTATTTATTTATTTATTTATTTTAACTTCTGGTAAAGTTCACCCTCACATGGGAAATGTTCCCATTCAGTCTGCAAACATATTATTTTTTTCAGTAGTATAATGCAGTATTCTCCTTCTAATGCTGTCTGTATGTTTTCTTCTATTATTTGTTGCAGATGTAACAGAATGGGTGTGGATTTTGATGTCAAGACATATTGCCATAACTTGAGGGCCACACAAAACCGCCCTACGAATGTCCTGTAGGGACCTGTCGCAAAATCTATAAAAGCTACAGTGGGATTGAGTATCACCTCTATCACTATGACCATGATAACCCGCCGCTTCAGCAGCAGACACCCATCCGCAGGTCGAAGAAGAAAGGACGACAGCCTCGCTCTGCTAATAAGCAGTCGCCTACTAACTCTGAACTGTCCCAGTCGCCAAGTCGTGAGGTGATGACATACGCTCAGGCCCAGCGGTTGGTTGAAGTCGAACTCCATGGAAAGGTCCATCGCATCAGCATCTTTGACAATCTGGATGTTGTTTCTGAAGATGACGATGTTCCTGAGGAAGCACCTGAGAATGGGAGTAACAAGGAAAATAATGAAACTCCTACTGCAACCCCTAAGTCTGGAAAGCATAAGAACAAGGAAAAGAGGAAGGACTCAAACCACCATCATCATCATCACACGGCATCTGCGGGCACCACTCCGAAGCTCCCTGAAGTGGTTTACCGGGAACTAGATTCTGATGCACCAGATGCTCCTGCCCGGCCTTCCTCCTATTACAGGTACATGCAAAACATCCAAGTAACCAGCTGGCTTAGAACTGAAAGGTTTTGCCTAGTGTTGCTCTCTAGCCTCTTGGCACCGTCCGAACGCAAATGTGCGGCCTCCCAGCGTCTGGGCCTATACGCCGAGAGTCCGCACATTTGCATTCTATTTTTAAAAAACATATGTGCTGAGAGCGCGCGTCCTGCGCGCTCCCAGCACACATGTCCAGTATTCACGGAAAGGTCCCAATCTCCTCTTTCGATCGGGACCTTTCCCGATCATGTGACTGCCATGACACGCCACAGAGAGACGTCACATGACCCTAAACCCCGCCCCGCCTCCCGGCTTCTGAAATACTTAAAGGGCGGGGAGGCGCCGGCGCCAAGGGGTTAAGGTTTATTTGAAGGTCACGATTACTAGTGGGTTGGGAGAAGATTAGTAATATGAGAGCTGCTGTTGGTAATTTTTCTGATGCATTATCCTGTTCCTTTTTTCAGTATTTATAGTATTAACACCAAAACTAAAAAATGTAATATATTTAAACTCCGCAATCATTAGATGTGGTGGCTGCATTATTATTATTTTTTTTTTTTTTTAGGCTTTTTGTCCCTCTGTTCTCACTTGGTGATCTGGCCAGTAACACACCTCCTGTATTAAAGCAGACAGCAGCATTGTCAGTCTGTGGGGCAGGGTAGTGTTAAATGTACTCTAGCGGATTTCAATATACTAACAAATTGAAGCCAAACTCCAGCTCACACTAAACAATCAATTACAGCAAACATTTTATTTCCTTTTGGGATAAAGGCTTTACATGAATAAAAACAAGAATAAAGGCTTTACATGAATAAATACACGAATAAAGGCTTTATATCGGTAAATAAAAGCTGCTCATTTTAAGCACCCCCGTCAGTTGTAAATGATTTGTCTCATTCTTGTAAATAATACATCTGGAAGAGCACGCTCTTCTGAAAAACAACATACTGGTTCACCACATGAAAACAGAGGAAAGAAATCACCAAAAAGCCCCCAACCCCAAAAAAATGCAGCCATCAAATCTAAGAATTGGGGAGCTACAGTATAATAAATGTTTGCTTGTGGATTAATATTATTGGGTAACTTTACAGGGTAACTTCTAAACACACATTTGAAATACATACATGTGACCTGTATTTAGCTGGCAAAAATGTTATAACTGTTTAGGCAGTCTTTGGATTCCCATGTCCCTGCCTGACAACAAATCTGTGTTACTGATTTGTTTACTGTAGCTTTTTTTTATTTTTTTTATGCTTTATCAAGAAGAAGAAATATGTTCCATCTCAGACAGCTCCTTCCCTTTTTTTTGTGAGTTTTGCATGGCACTTTTTTTGCTGCAGATAATACATGTCCATCTAGCAGCAAACATCCTATCAATAGGATAGATAGGGTAACATCAATACTAGGAGTTGACTTGTTAGTTGTATGGCGGGTACTGATACAGCACACACATGCGGATGCTTTAAATCGCATGAGCAAACAACAAGTGCACATAACCTGACACTGTACGTTTACTGAAGAATTTTATTCTGGCTTGAGATCTTTGGTGCAGTTTTAGACCTTTTTCTTTTTTAGGTGGGCTAAGTAATCTTTACACTTTTGATGCTATCAAAGTCAACCAAGTTGGAAAGCTCTGATTCCAGTAATAAACTTCTGTGGCTTGTTTGCTTTTCCTGATTACCAAAAACCTGCCTAAAAGAATTATGCATTTACTCCTGTCTAATTTTCCTCACCTGCCTTTGAAGGTACATTGAAAAGTCTGCTGAAGAAATGGATGAAGAAGTGGAGTATGATATGGATGAAGAGGACTACATCTGGCTGGATATTATGAACGAGCGACGAAAGACTGAGTGCCTCAATCCCATCCCACAGGAGACCTTTGAATACCTAATGGACCGGCTGGAGAAGGAGTCCTACTTTGAAAGCCATAATAAAGGGGATCCAAACGCGTTAATAGATGAGGACGCTGTGTGCTGTATTTGCAATGACGGGGAATGTCAAAACAGCAACGTGATATTATTCTGTGATATGTGTAACTTGGCTGTGCACCAGGAGTGCTACGGGGTTCCTTACATACCAGAGGGGCAGTGGCTTTGCAGAAGGTGTCTTCAGTCCCCTTCAAGAGCAGTGGACTGTGCCCTGTGTCCAAACAAGGGAGGTGCATTTAAACAGACAGACGATGGCCGCTGGGCACACGTAGTTTGTGCTCTCTGGATCCCCGAGGTTTGTTTTGCTAATACAGTCTTCCTGGAACCTATAGACAGCATTGAGCACATCCCACCTGCCCGATGGAAGCTCACTTGCTATATCTGTAAACAACGTGGCTCTGGAGCCTGTATTCAGTGCCACAAAGCAAACTGTTACACTGCCTTCCACGTTACCTGCGCACAGCAGGCCGGCCTCTACATGAAAATGGAACCCGTGCGGGAAACGGGTGCCAATGGAACATCTTTTAGTGTCCGCAAAACAGCGTATTGTGACATCCACACCCCTCCTGGGTCTGTTTGCAAACTTCCAGCCCTCTCCCACAGTGAGGGGGAGGAGGAAGACGACGAGGAAGAAGAGGAAGGAAAGGTTTGGAGTTCGGAAAAAGTAAAAAAGGCGAAGGCCAAGTCGAGGATCAAAATGAAAAAAGCTCGGAAAATCCTTGCTGAAAAAAGAGCAGCTGCTCCAGTCGTGTCTGTTCCTTGCATTCCTCCTCACAGGTAAATAGTCCATGGTAATAAGCGACAGGAAACACAAATTTCATGTTCCGCTTGGGTAGACCTTTCTGTATTTCCTGTTATTTATCCAGTACCATCTTTACTCTCTTGTACCTGGATTTTCCATTTATTCATTTTATGTTCGAAAGAAGGAATAAGATTCCCCTATCCTTCATGACTTTGGGTTAGAGCATGGGGGCTGAGCTTACAATCCAGGGATGTGATCTCCGCAGAGTCCCTGAGATTTATATAAATTCTCAATTATTCATGGGAGAACACTGTATCTCCCACTTTTTAAATATGTTTCAGGGACTCCAGCTGCAAAAATTCTGTTGCTGAGCACTCAACTCCTGCTGTTGCCATCGAAGCAGACCTTAGCCCTCCAAAAGAAAAAACCTTTAATGCTGATAAAATGTCTTTATGGAAACAAGTAGACTTAAGCTGGCCATAAATTGTACAAGAAGATTGTATAACCTCTAAGATTTTACCCCTTTCACGACATGCTTTTTGGCACTTCGCAATGCTATACGCAAACAAATTTTATATAATTTTTTAATTTCTTTTGGTGGTATTTGATCACCACTGTTTTTTTTTTTTAATTTTTTCGTTATATAAAGGAACAAAGACAGAAAATTTTGAAAAAACAAATTTTTTTTACTTTGCTATAAAACATCCAAAAAAATCAAATTTCTTCATACATTTAGGCCAAAATGTATTCTGCTACATGTCTTTGGTAAAAAGAATCCCAGTAAGTGTATATTACTTGGTTTACATGAGTTACAGTGTCTACAATTTTTTTTTTTAAGTAATGGCGTTGGTCAGCGACTTGAAGCGGGCAGTCTAATACTAGCTGATGCTGGCTGGGGGGTACACTAACTGACACTGGCATTAATAGTGACACTAATACTGTGATCAGTGCTAAACACACACTATCAATGTACTAATGACACTGGCTGGGAAGGGGTTAAATGTGTGTACACAGTGGGCACTGGGCTGTGACTCGGAGAGCTGATCAGCAGGTCCCAGCCATCAATCATTGGCTGGGATCCACTGATCGGCTTGTGCTGTGCCAAATCACAGCATAGCCGAGGCGGCGGGCATGCGTGCTCCCCCTACCCGGATGCACGGATCAAGTATTAGGTATGTGATCCAGCGCAGAACGGACGCCCTGCTACAGTATATCTGTGTGGGGCAATCTTAATCTCCTTTAGATTTACCTTCAACTATATAGTGCAAGGGCCTGCCTGATTTGGATAATTTTTTTTTATTTGTTTTTCACGCTCCTGCTCTACATCCCATGCTACAATTAAAGAAAAAAAACAGTGGCTGATCTTTCTTCCTGGTATATCTGTGCCACCAGTTATGGCATGGCATTATTGTGTATACTCTGTCGTTATGTTAGAAACCTGAGCAACATTATGCCAGCTGACTCTCACAATGCTTAAGCAATGTTCCAACAACAAAAAAAAACTAAAAGCCCTTTTCCTGAGATCTCATGAGAAACCTCCAGAACTCCGCTTTCTTTATTGGCCACCCAGTTAGTGACTTGCCTGTTTTACATTCAACTTCATAAAATTCAGGAAGTGTCCAAAGGCCTACTGGGAACCCCCAAAATGTTATATGTGCTGTGTCAGGGAAGTAAACATTCAGTCACTGTAGATGTTATCTTTGACACGTGGCGTAGAATCATGGTAAAAAAACTGAGTTGAAAGTGAAAGAGAAACTCGGGATATAACATGTTTGTAAAACTCAACTTGATGTTTTAAAGCAATTCTAACCCCTTGCCGTTTTAGAACTTCAAGCAGAACTCCAGGCAAAGATAATGAATTGCTCATTAAAATATAAAATGAAAACAACTTTTGTTACAAAAAAAATCATCTTTAAACCAGGGATATTCCCACAGTACTCTTTTCTCTGGGCATCCTCAGTCTTATGGCCAGCATCATTCAGCTCACCCTTTCTGAGCCCAGATAGTCCTGGACTCGCCTCCCTCCTCCTTTTACAGTCTAGTCCAGGGGTAGGCAACCTGTGGCTCTCCAGCTGTTGCAGGACTACAAGTTCCATCATGCCTCTGCAAGTCATAGCTGTAACTGTCAGTTTTGTAATGTTGCAATGCCTCATGGGAAACGTAGTTCCAAAACAGGTAGAGAGCCGCAGGTTATAAATAAACGAAACCAGCGCTCCAATCCTCATGCAAGCCAGAAAAATGTCAAAATGCCAAACGAAGAGGTGCTGCCCTTCAAAGATCGGGAAATCTAACCACTGAAAGAAAAAACAAACAAGGGCGCACTCTCATCGTGCATTACCGTGGTATACCACGTGTTTAATAAATAGACAAGTAGATGTATACTCGCAAACCAATGATAAAAACAGTGTGTGTGGTCCACAACAACAGTCACAATCGCTGTGTCTAATGTGTGGATAAGCTGACGCATTTCGGGAGCTGAACCCCTTCTTCAGAGCCCCCGAAGGGGGTTCAGCTCCCGAAATGCGTCACCTTATCCGCACATTAGACACAGCGATTGTGACTGTTGTGGACCACACACTGTTTTTATCATTGGTTTGTGAGTATACATCTACTTGTCTATTTATTAAACACGTGGTATACCACGGTAATGCACGATGAGAGTGCGCCCTTGTTTGTTTGTTTTTTGTTTTTGTTTTTTCTTTCAGAGAGCCACAGGTTGCCTACCCCTGCTCTAGTCACATTCTGAACAGCAGTGTGATGAGCTCACATATCTGTCCCTCTGCTCTCTTTTGTCAGCTTGCTTCTTGTCTTCAAATAAACGGATTGGCTCCTTGTTCTGTATTAGGGACTGCAGGAGGCTGGTAACAGGTCAAATTAATGTTTTTGCACTGCTTGTATTTTAAAGAATACATTTCATGATGTTTTGAGGATTTGAGAACTGAATTAATTTGTGTATTTTAAATTAATAAAGTGTATTCAGAGTTGCCACATGAGCGGTAAGCTTCTAACAGTGTAGCTTTTGAGTGATTTCAGATGTGTGTTAGAAGGTAATGCTTTTCATCTTGCTTGCCTTCCTTCTTCACTAAGAAATGCTGCAAAGTCTTATTACTAATATTTTCTCTGCATACGGAGTGTACATATGTCAGCTGTAATCAGGGTGTTCAGTCTGTTCCTAGTTAATGAAACAAACTCGTTACCTGACTTGCTTCTTTTGATGACTATTGAGAGTCCTCACACTGCAAAGTCTTTTTTTTCTGAGCTCTTCTCATTTATTATACACAGGCAACAAACCTGAATCCTAATGATTATAAGTCCACAGTTGGTTGGATGCTAAAATTTCCCTTTGAGTGTTTTTTTTACAGCACCTGATAATTGCAAGATCTGCAACTAATGTGATCATCTTTTTGTCATGATTAGAAGAAAGTCAGGCTATGAAAAGAGCTAGTTAGAGGGTATTGATGAGCACATCCGACACTTAAAACTTACTTTTTGCTCTAGTTAAAGCCCCACTCCAAAATATAACGTTCCCTCCCCCCTCTATTCCGTCCTATAATTTTTATTTTTTTTTCTTACTTTGTGAAGCCAGTTAATACTCAAGTCACCTGTCCAGGTCCCTTGTTGCTGCCATTTCCTGGTGTAAGGGAACCACTAATTCAATGCAGCAGATATTCACCTTTGCCAGCCAGTCTTCACCAGTCCCCTTGTGATGACATCACTCCTCTCCTGGCTCCTGTTAGGAAACTTTTACTGGAGTGCCAATAAGAAGGGTCCATATCATGCAGGCAGTGATGTGGGCAGCTGAAAAGGAAGTGTGAGTGACATGTGACTAGGGCTTTAGTTAAGTAGAAAGGGCACTTATCTTGGAGATTTGTTTTAAAGTGGTTCTGAAGTCACAATGTTTTTTTACCTTTATGCATTACTTGCTTTAAGGTAAAAATCTTTCTTAGCTGTTTGCTCCCCCCTTGTTAAATGCAGTTCAGTGTTCACGGACACTGACTGGTGACCGCACATAAAAAAAAAAAAAAATTATATATATAATATATATATATATATATATATATATATATATATATATATTTATTTATTTATTTTTTATTTTTTTATTCAGTATTTAAATTTTTTTTTTTTTTTTTCATTACCCGTATTTTTGTTTAAATACTTTTCATCAGAGTAGTTCCATGTTACCATAGTAACATTGTACTACTCTGGAGGGGTAACAAAGGATTTTTTTTTTTTTTTTTTTACACTTTGCTGATACAATAAAGATCCTTTTACCAGCAATGTTTTGAACTGTCAAAAATGGGTTAAAGCGGTAGTAAACCACAAAAAAAAAAAATTCAAAAAAATCTCCCTGAAAGCTAAGAGCATAATGTGCTAGTATGCAAGCTGTTATGAATCGTATTGATAACGTGATCACTGAGTACCGGGATCCGCATTCGCAGGTCGCAGAGAGAGGGGAGATCTTCTGTGTTGTCTTTTCATACATCAGGTGCAGCAGATGCAGCCAGATCATGTAGCAGTCTTTGGGGAGCATACACCCCTTTTTCTGATCCCAAGGAGGTGGGTGACCAATATCTATTTAGTGTTTGGGGCCCTCAGCAGTTGTGTGAACGTGTATAAAGAGGTCTTTCAGAAGGTGGGGGTTTTGGAATAACCTTGGCAAAAAAATGCCTATTAAAGCTAATTTCTTTTTAAGCTGAAGTTGTCCTTCCTGATGTACTGCTTTATAAAATGCATTAGTACTACATAGTGCATAGTTTTAGTACATCAGTCTGAATTTTAAATTGCACTTGTTCCAAAGGTGTCTACTAGCATATTCCTGATGCAGTGATGGGTTGCAAATACTGAAAATACAGTATACAAGTAAATATACAGCTAAAAAGATATAGGAAAAGCATGAGATAGGACATCAGTATACAAGGCTTTATATTGGTGTTGTACTGCCACACCAAAGTGCTTTATTATAGTATTTTTGTTTTTATGTATATTGTGTATATAAAATATCTAATACAATTGTCCATTTCTTTTTCAGGCTCAGTAAGATCACCAACTGCTTAAACATCCAGAGGAAAAGCCAATTCATGCAAAGGCTACATAGCTACTGGACATTAAAGAGACAATCCCGGAATGGCGTTCCTTTATTGCGCCGCTTACAGACACACTTGCAGTCACAGCGGAACTGTGAGCAGGTCAGATAGTAGCATGGTGGGTGGGTGGAGCAGTGTTTCTTTTGTAGCTTTGTAATATAGTTGAAGAAAAAGGGTTTGATAGCTTAACCACTTTGCTCCAGCTGTACGCATATATGCGGCCCTGTATAAAAAATCTTACCATGCTGAAAGCACGCTTCCAGCACGGCAGATAGCGTGGATCCGTAAGCTCCCGAAACATACTTGTCATCAGCTGCTTTCTGGATCATATGACTGCTGTGACAGCCAATCATCAGTCACATCATCCGAATGCCCGCTTCCACCTCCTGGCATCTAGGAGCTCTTAAAGGGCCAGGAGGCATCAGCGGGATAGAGTTAAGGCTGCATAGCAGGCACAAATATATATATTTTTCTATTATTGCATATTTCCCATTAGTCACAAAGAATATGAATCCACTCTTTTGGCCATATGCTTTTGAAAACCCAGTTATTATCTTGTAGCCGTAGGTGTGGTATCAACGTCCAGTGCTTTGTACATCTGTGTTGTCACTGCTCTATAGGAAACCTGTCCTTAGCCTGTACAGGGAGCAGAGCTGTGGCAGAGACCCAGTCGTTCCACCCACTACAGAGCTGCCTTCAGAAAATACAGGAGAGGGTGGATACAAGACCAGTCACACCCTGCACAAGGAGAGAGCAGCAGTGACTGGTCTTTATTACAAGAAACTCCTGCACAGAGGCATAAACGTGCTCTGTATATTGATCAGTGGAAAAAAAAAATACAAATTTGAGTTGCCAGTCAGTATTTTTGCACGTATACTCGCAAGTGATATACAGCCCTTCCTCGTGTTTCTTGCTGCCAGGAGTGTCTGATGCTCATACATCAGTACAGTGTGAAACGGGCCTTACACTCTATTACCTTTCAGCCCTGGAAGAAATACTAAAGGGATGCCAAGATTGTAATACAAATATACATGCCTCTTGTATTTAGACAGTATTTGTTTATCTCAGATTTCAGTTCAACAGCAGCCATCACAGGGCGTGAACACGTTTTTTTCCACTAAAATCACTGTGCACTGCGGAGTAAGAAAAATACCTCAGCAATCTATAATCACTTCCATTATAGAATATAGAGAGTGTTAGGGTGCACTTAAGAATGACTTACAGAAGCTGTATGTCAACATGCTTCTATTGCATCTATTATTTAGTTATTTCAGGTACTTGTATAGCGCCGTCAATTTTATACAGCGCTTTACATATATATTGTACATTCACATCAGTCCCTAACCTTCAAGGGGCGTACAATCTAAGGTCCCTAACTTATATTCAAATATACACATATTAGGGCCAATTTAGACAGGAGTCAATTAACCTACCAGCATGTCTTTGGAGCGTGGGAGGAAACCGGAGTACCCGGAGGAAACCCACGCAGGCACAGGGAGAACATGCAAACTACAAGCAGGTGGTGCTATGGTTGGGATTCAAACCAATGACCCCAGTACTGCCGGGTGAAAGTGCTAACCATTTAGCCACTGTGCTGCCCATATTCCATCTATGTTTAATATGGATCAATAGATGAATAGATAGAGAAATATATACATATATACACTTATCTTTTTCTGCATAAAACATGGTGGAAATGACAGGCTCATTTTAATGTGTTCTGCCTTTGTTAATGCTGGACGAAGTTAAAGGCATGTAACATGTCAGCACAGGCTTTGCTGTGTACTGTCTTCAATTAGTTTGCATGCCTATGTTGAATTTTCAAGATACTGTGTTACTTTAAAAATTATACTGTCATTGCCTACATCTGGAGCTCCTAAACTGTATGAAAAAATGACACCATAGGACAGGGGTGGGCAACTGTGGCCCTCCAGCTGTTGGTGAACATCAAGTCCCATCATGCCTCTGCCTTTGGAAGTCATGCTTGTAACTGTCAGTTTTGCAATGCCTCATGGGACTTGTAGTTCTACAACAGCTGGAGGGCCACAATTGCCCACCCCTGCCATAGGAAATGATGATAGTTGGGTAAGTACATTTTTATGAGTGCGAATAAACAAAAGTGTTTATTTTCCCAATAGGAGATGAAATGGAGAATACCTTTGTCTGATGAGACCTCTGTTCACCAGGGAACAATCTCTAAACCAAACGAAGAGATTGGAGACCAAATACTGAAGGTGACTATGTGGAGACTGCATTGTAGTGACAGTCTGATGTTGGCGCATTATTTCAGTATTTCAGCTTTGGTTTTATGCTATTTAATGTACTGCAGAGTATTATCCTTGTGTGCAGCCACCTTCGATAAGCAATAAGATTTTACTATAGTGACACTCAGCCAAGCCTTTGTTTTTCATCCAATTTAGTGTTGGTTCACACTGATGCGATGCACCTCATTCCGATCACACTGTGTTCATGCAATCTGCAGATGTCGTTTGAAATTAACTGCTCCTGCTCCCCCAAATACAGGTCGCAGAACAATCGTTTTTCTGAATTGGATCGCATGGTTATGAACACTCATGCGATCCAATTCCAGTGCGGCAAAAAAAAAAAAGGTGCCTGCAATGTGATTTGAGCCATACAAAATGATGCCATACAAATCACACCGCACAGAATCACATGTGATTTGATTAGGAATGTGGTGCGATTCCTCTGTGAATCTCATGCGATGTGACAGTGTGAACCAGGGCTTAAAAGATTTTTAGCTGTAGTGTCCTTCATCCATATTGCAACACAAGAAGTCAGCTCTGTTTGCCTGGTTCTCCTCTCACTACAAGAACTCTGCCTCCAGTATTTCTTATATAAAAAGTTTCTTTCTATAAAACTCCAAGCCTAATAAATTTCTCTTTCAACAGAAAGACTCTACGGACAAAAACTGGGTGTTGAAGGAACAGTTAAAGTCTTGGCAAAGGCTTCGGCATGACCTGGAGCGGGCGCGCCTGCTGGTAGAGTTGATACGCAAGCGAGAGAAGCTGAAGAGAGAAACGGTACAGGGTGAACTAGTGCCTGCTTGAGTACATCTTTCTGCCTGCACAGTCTACCGGCATGTCATGTTTACTTTCCATCCTGTTTTGTTTATTGCAGATTAAAATACAGCAGTTGGCTCTAGAGGTGCAGCTAACCCCTTTTCTTATTCTCTTGAGAAAAACATTAGAACTGTTGCAAGAGAAAGATACCAGCAATTTTGTTTACTGAGCCGGTCCCTCTCTCCCGGTAACGGAACTATACAAAGTAAGAATCCAATCTCCATCCATGTCTTATTTACATCTCATGATTGTCATTAATGTGTATTGTCTATCAGTGACTTTTCTACTTCTACAGCATACCAGTACTGCAAATCATGAACTAGCTCAGACAATTTAAGACAGAAGGAGCCAGCAACATAGGCTTTATTCGAAGAAAATTAAAATAGTAATGGCTTAAAAGGGTAGCAGCTGTAGGCCTGTCGGCCACTAGACTTCTAGGATTTGTAGTCTTGTTATAGGCCATAACTATACGAATTTAGACGCTTGTTTTGTTTTTCCTCCCTTTTTACGGGCTGTACCTGCTAGACAGCTGTGACAATTCAGTTAAGCACTTCCCGTCTGGCCCATGTACATAAACGGCTTGACGGGAGCAGTGCAGGAGCGAGTTGCCGTTCATAAACAGTGCCCGCATTTTCAAGCTGTGCTCCCTAGGAGCGTGCATCACCGCGATCCGGTGCCTGCTGTGTATTCCGGATACACTGATCGCTGTACGGGAACTCTGTTTGAGGTCACGATCATGTTATCACTGATTGGCCAATCAGTGATCACATGAATAGTAGTAAGAAAGATGTCACTTCTGACATCATTGCTTACTACTAGTGAAATCTGTGAATGATCACAGAGGTCACATGGTACAAGGCTATTCACAACAGCCTGGTACCATGTGACAAGCTGTGACCAATCACAGCTCTCAAAGTATTTCTCAATGGCTACAAGAATGCAGCTAGAGAGAAGGAGAAATGATTGATTTTGCAGCTTTTATGGGTGTAAAAGCAATCGGTGTAAAAAAAAAAAAAAAAAAAAAAATTCTTCATCAGCCCCCACAAATAGTAGTACAGTGTCACTATGGTGACACTGTACTGCTAGGGTGACAGTATGTAAAAAAAAACAAACAAATAATATTAAAAAATGTAAAAAAAAAATTTGAAAAATTAGAATTTTTGGTTATAAACTAATTTGGGTTATTTTTTTTTTTTTACTAAAAAGATAACTGAATACATTTTGGCCACGATTTATGAAGAAAGATTATTTGCAAAATTGTATAAGAAAAACCCTTTTTTTCAAAATTTTCAGACTTTTTCATTTTATATAGCAAAAAAAATGAAAGTCCAAGTGGTGAATAAATACCACTAAATTAAAGTTTTATGTCTCACAAGAATGCTAAAAAATTCATATGGGTACAGTGTTGCACGACCGCGCAATTGTCATTCAAAGTGTGATAGCACTGAAAGCTGAATATTGGCCTGGACCGGAAGGGGGTAAAAGTGTCCGGACTTGAAGTGGTTAAAGTAACTGTCACATGAATAAAAGTTCCAACAGAAGATATGTCTGTAAAGAAGATTTTTAATAATCCTTTCTTGTGCTGTACGTGTTTGTGAACAATGCTCTGAAGAAAAGAAATGGTCCCATGATGTCTCCTTGGAAAACAACATTTCTGGAGTCTCTTCTGGATCATTCAGTAGTTCTTCTGGCTAAACCCTCCATCACTACTGCGTCCTGTAATGATGTAGGGATCAGCGGGAGTAAACACTAAAAGCCGTGGGGGGCAAAGATATTGACACTGCTAGAAGTGTCGCTTTCTGACTTTGTGTGATCATTTTTACTTTATCAAAGCAACTTTCAACAGCACAGACAGAAGGAGAGGAAAGTATTTACAGTTTTCTTTGCAAGTAACTCTTCTGTTGGGACTTTATTTAAGTGACAGAGTTGTGTTCAATCAAAACAAGTTTGCTTTAAAGCTCCCCCTTCCTTAGCAGTACATACTCGCCTGTTATCTGGTCCTGTACCACACTTGGGAGGTGTTGGAACAGAACAGAGGGGGGAGCAAAGGAAAGAGGAGTATGTGCTGCTGGAAAGGTGGATTAAAACAATCCTGTTACTTTTAGAAAGCATAGGTTGGCCTTATAAATGGCTTATGCTTGTTAATGTTATCTACACATAAGGCTGATACTTGGCCTGTGTATAAGCCTTTCCCACCTTTTGCAGCTAGAGGTTTTAAATGGCTAGAATGGAAATACAACTCTTTATTGTCCAGCAACTGAGGAAGGAAGCCTTTGCACCTTTTGGGTTTACTGCTGGCAACAGGAGGATTGAAAGGTGGCAAACAAACTATAGCTCAATCCACACTAACCCCTCCTACAACCAACTTGCCTCATTTTTTTGCTTGTATCCTGGGGGGATTGGTGTCTTTTCTTCAACTCTTCTGTGTTGATGGCTGAGCTTTATTTTATTTATTTGCTAGCGTTTTTTTAAATTCAGTCAAGACTTCTTTTTACATCACTGCTGGAGCTTTGCCTTGATTGCAGCTATTCAACGCCATCATCCTTAGTCTGTTTTTAGAGTACCACGTCCAAGCTCTGCTTGACTGGACATTGCAGAGAGGCTAGAAGTGATCTGCAAGAGCTGGGTTTCACTGTGGCCACTTTCCATAGCTGAAGAGCGTTTCCCAGGTCCAGAGCCACCGGCATTGCCTCAGCGTTCTGATGTACCGAGTGCCTCCAGCTCATTTTATACTAAATTCTCCAGAGCTGATTGTTGCACACCTTCTGACAGTGCTGATGTCCACTGCCTGGACTTGTATTGCTTTCTGCTGTTTGTGCCTTCTCTATCCACTTTAGCTGCAGTGTGTGTGTGTCCTCTGCTTTTCAGGCTGAGGTCTTTACAATGGTCATGCAAGGCTATATCAGCCAGTTATTTGCTGCCTCTGCAGAGACCACAAGTGTGCTTCTGCACCCTCTCCTGCAGATTTTATGTCTGATTTACCTGCTGCCTTAGTGGTTCCTAACCCATTTGCCCAAGAGACTCTGATTCAGTCACTCTAGTCCTTGATTGATTAGCTCACTCCTCATTTTTCCATTACATCGACTCCCCCCCACCCCCCCCCCCCCCCCCCCCCCCCCCCCCAAAACCTGGTTCCCTGTCAACCCACAAGGTGTGGCACTCAGGCAAGCCTTCCTTTGAATGGATGTGCACCCCCCACATTTTGGAGTGAAGTAACATTTGTTAACCTTTGCTTGGACAGATTGCATCTCAAATGCTTTGTTGCAGAAAATGGTATTCCAGGACTACAAACCAGAATCAGTCTCTCTCTCTCTCTCCTTTCTCTGTCTCCCTCTCTCCTCCTCCCCCTCTCTCCTCCTCCCCCTCTCTCCCCTTCTCTCTTCCCCACCTTCTCTCTTCCTCTCTCTCCCCCCCTCTCTCCTCTCTCCCCCCCTCTCCCTCCTCTCTTTCTCTCTCCTCTCTCCCTTTCCCCTCTCCCCCTCTCTCCCCCCTCTCTCCCCCCCTCTCTCCCCCCCCCTCTCTCTCTCTCCCCCCTCTCTCCCCCCCCCTCTCTCCCCCCCCCCTCTCTCTTCCCCCCCCTCTCTCTTCCCCCCTCTCTCTTCCCCCCCTCTCTCTTCCCCCCCTCTCTTCCCCCCCCTCTCTTCCCCCCCCTCTCTTCCCCCCCCTCTCTCCCCCCCCCCTCTCTTCCCCCCCCCCCTCTCTTCCCCCCTCTCCACCCCCCCTCTCCCTCTCTCCTCTCTCCTCTCTTCTCTCTCTCTCCTCCTGCTTTCCTGTATCACCACACAGATTAGCAGGTCTCCATTATGTCCTCTTGGGTTTTCTGGATCAAGGTGACATTGTCCCGCCTCTATCCTGTCCTTCCTGCTGCATGGTCTGGACCAGCATCTGCAGGGAAGAGCTCAGGTGGGTTTGGATGAGTTCAAACTTACCTGAACTATGCCACTAGGAAGTTGACACTGCGGACAGCCAATCGTAAGCAGGGAAGGAATTCCCTACCCTGCAGCCGCACGTGTACAAGAGGACCTAGTTCTCAGCACTATCAGGGGGTTAAGTGTTTGCTCTTTCTATTTTCAAAGAAAACTGACCCCTCACTCTTTAAAACTTTTGAATGAAGGTCTTTCATGTAGCTCCCTCCCATTTGCTCCCCTGTAACTCTGTGTGATCTTAATTTGGTTTTCTCTGAACGTCAGAAATTGCAGTTTAGACATTCTCTTCTGTTCTCCCATCCACAAGGTGGTGGTTTTTGTAGCCATCACATCTAAGAAACTAGAGTGTGAGAACTGGACTTATCTTGCACCCCATTTTGGTTCTGCAGAAATTTCCCTCCATTGTCTGGATGTAGTTTGGACTGTAATGCAGGGCATAGATGGGGAGAAAAAAACGGCAGATTTTTCTTTTAAAAAAAACGAAAAAAAATTCGGTCGTTCAAGCGGCCGACGTTACCATCAATGGTAAAAAAAATCGGCCGATTTTCATCCCTTCTACAGCTGGCAAAAAGTGTCCCTGCAGAGAGCTCCGCTATTTCTGACAGTTCTCTGACAGTTCCTTCACATTTACAGCGGTTGAAACATTGTATCTATTTGTTTCCATTTAGGATACAGATGTTTTTATTCAGAAACAAATAGATACAATGTTTCAACCGCTGTAAATGTCAAAGAACTGTCAGAAATAGCGGAGCTCTCTGCAGAGATACTTTTTGCTGGACTGGAATTCTTCTTATTTTCATTCCTCTTCCTCTTCCTCTCCTCCTCCTCTTCCTCCTCCTCCTCCTCCCTCCTCCTCCTCCTCCTCCTCCTCCTCCTCCTCCTCCTCCTCCTCCTCTTCATCCTCCTCTTCATCCTCCTCATCCTCCTCATCCTCATCTTCTTCATCCTCATCCTCCTCATCCTCTTCTTCTTCTTCATCCTCTTCTTCTTCTTCATCCTCTTCTTCTTCTTCATCCTCTTCTTCTTCTTCTTCATCCTCTTCTTCTTCTTCTTCATCCTCTT